CCAATACCTAAACATAACCATTCCCAATGGCTTCTTGAATGCTATATGATTTCAGGCTTTCTTTGTGCATAAAAAGCATATAAATGTATGTATATGTACATATAAAGACACACATATATACATTACATTCTATTTTAAGGAAATGAATTTCTGCTCCTTAAAATAATCTAGACCTAGCCCTGACCAGTTTGGCTCAGTGGATAGAGTGTTCGCCTGTGAACTGAAGGGTCCCGAGTTCAATTCTGGTCAAGGGCATGTACCTTGGTTGTGGGCACATCCCCAGTAGGAGGTGTGCAGAAAGCAGCTGATAGATGTTTCTCTCTCATCAATGTTTCTAACTCTCTATCCCTCTCCCTTCCTCTCTGTAAAAAATCAATAAAATATATTTTAAAAAAATAATCTAGACCTATTCTTGTTCCTATGTGTCATTTTTCTAGGCTCAAATGGAGTAGTGAATAGACAAATCCCCAAGCTAGAAGATATGTTAAATATCTCAATTAGGTAAGTGTTAAAGTGAACATACTAAACAAATAAGGTTCTCAGAGATCTCCTAACACTCTTAAAATATATATAGATAGATAGATAGATAGATAGATAGATAGATAGATACATATATGATTTTAGAGAGAAAGAGATAGAAACATCAATGATGAGAGAGAATCATTGATCAGCTGCCTCCTGCATGCCTCCTACTGGGGATCAAGCCCACAACCCAGGTATGTGCCCTTGGCCAGAATCTAATCTGGGACCCTTCAGTCCCCAGGCCGATGCTCTATCCACTGAGCCAAACTGGCTAGGGCTCTCCTAACACTCTTTAATGAAGCCTTATCCAGGGCAAGCAAAATTACTTTAAGAGGGAAAATGCCCAGGATGAAACAAACAAAAGGGCAGATGATATATTAAAGGATACAATGAGTTTATTCGTAACCTTTTAGGAACTGTCATTTGACTACTATGCTCTTGCACAAAAGGAATTATCAGAGATCTTATAACACTTTTTGATGGAAGAGATGAATCTTCACCAGGGTAAGCAACTTTTGAATAACTTTCACAGGCAGTCTTTTATACTAGAAAGAAATTACACATTTCTTACATTCTTATGACTAGGGAAAGGGAATAGTCGTACTTCACAGCAGTAGCTGAAGACTTCAAGCAGGGAAGGCAGAAGAGGTACAGTTGCTTTTCTATAACAGTACCCCTTCTTCCCAACTCTCAGAGCTGTGTGAGTCTCCAGGCAAAAGTAAAACCCAGAACCAATATCTCAGGGTAAAGAAAAGTCCCTGATAGTCCAAATAAAATCACTTCTTTATGGGTCATGTTTTTTTTTCTGCACTGATATGAAGCAAAACAAATTAATTCCCAACTACTTCTACTGAGAATAATAAAACTATTTGGTTATTAAACAATGGCATTTACTTTATTATTTCTTGATATTAATAGGATCCTCCCTTGCTTTTAGAGGATTTAGAGCACATGTGTCAAACACAAGGCCCGCGGGCCAAATCCGTCCCGCCAGGCCTTGCAATGTGGCCCGCACCGCGCTGTCATCACTGCACTCCGCTGCGTTTCCATCACAATGACAGTTTATGACTGTTCAGTAAACCATTCGGCCCGCGATTTAGGCTGGATTTTAGATTTTGGCCCCTTCTCTGATTGAGTTCGACACCCCTAATTTAGAGGATAATTTTTAAAAAATAAATAAATAAACCTTTAATTAATTACCTTCTGATCCAAAGTAATATTCAAGTTGGTGTTTGAAAGAACACAAGAGATACGATATGCTGATCATTCACAACATGACATAAGAGGGATAAAAATAGCACAGAAAGGCAGGACAACTTTCTAGTCATTCAATAACTTAAGTATTGATTTTTAAAAACTTTTTAAAAAATTCTCACTTGAGGATATGTTTATTGATTTTAGAAAGAGAAGAAGGGGGAGAGAGAAAGAAAGAGAAACATGAATGTGAGAGAGAAACATCAATTGGTTGCCTCCCTTACATGCCCCAACTGGAGATGGAACCCACCACCTAGGTATGTGCCCTGATTGGGAATCACACCTGTGATCTTCAGTGAGGGCTGACGCTCTGTCCACTGAGCCAAACCAAGTAAGGTAAAATAATTTTGTTAGGTATTTAAGACTATTATGTTTATGTTATTAAAAAAGGAATCCCTTGCCCTAACTGGTTTGGCTCAGTGGATATAGAGTGTTGGCCTGTGGACTAAAGGGTCCCAGGTTCAATTTTGATCAGGGGGCATGTACCTTGGTTGTGGGCACATTCCCGGTAGGGAGTGTGCAGGAGGCAGCTGTTTGATGTTTCTCTCTCATCAATGTTTCTGGCTCTCTTTCCCTCTCCCTCTCCTTTCCTCTCCGTAAAAAATCAATAAAATATATATATATATATATATATATATATATATATATATATTTTTTTTTTTTTTTTTTTAATATATTTTATTGATTTTTTACAGAGAGGAGGAGAGAGGGATAGAAAGCTAGAAACGTCGATGAGAGAGAAACATCGACCAGCTGCCTCTTGCACACCCCCTACCGGGGATGTGCCCGCAACCAAGGTACATGCCCTTGACCGGAATCGAACCCGGGACCTTTCAGTCCGCAGACCAACGCTCTACCACTGAGCCAAACCGGCCTCGGCTAAAATATATATATATTTTTAAAGAGGACTCCCTTCATGTAAATTATGGACTTAGTTAATGACAATGTATCAATACTGGTTCACCAATTGTAAAATGTACCACACTAATGCAAGATGTTAATAATAGGGGAAGCTGGGGATTGGAAGGAATATGGGAAGCTGTACTTTCTATTCAATTTTTCTATAAACCTAAAATGGTTCTAAAAAATAAAATTAAAGAAAAACTAGAACATAGGCTTCCTCTCCAATGAGGTCCTCTAATCCATTCTTAAAACTGGTCACTTAAAGCATTTCCACAGCCTTATTACTTCATTTTTCCAATAACACAGATCCCCCAAATTTTTCTAAAGTTTAACATACACTACCTTTAATATGTTCTCATGCCATTTTTTTTTTTATGTGTGTGAGGGTAAGTGGCTAAGACGTTTTATGTACCAATAGATACACTTTAATTAATTCACAAAATCAACAAAGCTCTCATAGGCAAAGTAGTATCTGTCAAATATTGATATATTTCCAAACACCCCCCCCCAAAACTCCACAAATTCCCGAGTTATCTGATACTTCATAAATAAATAAATAAATTCTATAAAATAAAGAATATTCCTCCTCCTCCTCCCCACTCCCTCCTCTCCTCCTGCTCCTCCTCCTCCTTCTTTGTCTTTAAAGAAGCCCTGATCTATTAGAGAGACATACTGAAGTATTTATAGATAATATATGTCTAGGATTTTTTAAATACTCCAGCACGGTAGGGTAAATGTTAAAGAAGTGAGATTTTTAAATTTATTTATTTATTTTTTTTTATTATTTTTATTTTTTTTTAAGAAGTGAGATTTAGAAGAAACAAGGCTGAGCAATATTAATACTTATTGAAACTGAGTACTATGTGAATGTTCATTATATGATTCTCTATTTTTCATATATTTGAATTTTTCATTATAAAAAGTTAGGAAAAAATCAAATTTAAGATTCATCTATCTCACCTGCAAGATTCTAGACATGTATCAAATTTTGTTAAGATTATAATGGAAATCTAACTTTTTAAAAAGTACCTTCTGACGGTAGGTGCATGCGGTACTGCAGAATTACTAGTGATCAGAGTTAAACTCATAGGACAGAATATTTTTTCCTCTTACGCCAGAGAATATTTTTTCTTCTTAATAAGTTTTATGGTTCTATTTACCAGGAATACTTTAGATAATAATGAGTGAAGAAGTACTATCAAATAGGCCTACAGACAGGTGGTTTAGTTTTGGAAGTGACTAAAATATTCAAATACATCTGTATAAACCAAGTACAACTTAGGAGTGTAGATTGAACATTAACTTACCAGACAATGAATAACTGCACAAATTAATAAGTGTAACGCAAATGAACCTATTTTTCTTGTTCTCCAAAAGCAAAATATTTCCTGTTGCACACAGCAAACAAGTCAGTCCAATACTAGTGACATGACCATCAAATGCTAAAATATTCACTGCTAGTATTAGTGAAGAGAAATGGTGCGCCTGCACGTAAGGCATGAAAGGGAAATGAATGCAACACAATTATGTAATCAGTCATTAGTGAATGTTGTAGCTCGATATTAATAATCTTACCTAATAACAGACAAACATGTATATTGACTGTACCTCTGCTACACCCACAGCCAATCAGGAGCGAGTATGCAAATTAACCCAACAAAGATGTAAGGTTAATTTGAATATGTAGGGCTGGAGCCACAGGCCCCGCCGACACCTGTTATGAGGGGGAGGGAGATGGGGGGTTCAGGAATGGTGCTCCAGCCAGGAGTGAGGACTTGGCGGCTTCCAGGTAGCCAGGAAGTGGGGACTTAGCAGCTCCTGGGTGGCCGGGAGCGAAGCCCGGGAAGGAAGGCTTATTATTGCACAAATATTGTGCAACGGGCCTCTAGTTATATATAACAAGATATTATAAAAATTAAGTTACAAAATTTTTATTAAAACATTTCTTACATACCGTTATATTGGCCAGCAGCCGGAAGGCCCCAATCAGCCCTGATCACCAGCCAGGCCTAGGGACCCTACCCATGTACCAGGCCTCTAGTTTTTACAATAACAATAAACACTTTCTAACACAAAATGTTTCAGGTAATTCACTCCCTCTCATCCTACTCACTATGAAAACAAATTGCCAAAGTCCAATTACTCTAAGCAATCATTCTTTCTACTATTACCAGCTAGAGATAAAATTTTCAAGAGAAATATGCTCAGCATGTTTATAACAAAATTACACTAGAATATTTAATTAATAGTTAGAAAATGTAATCGAGGTTCAGAAAGAAATAAATTTTAAATTGTTTCATATATCATGTAAAACAACTTACCTTGTAGTTTTTTCAATACAGCAACCTCCATTTTCAGAACTTGTTTTGGTTGTTGGGCTGATTCTACCTTCAGTGCAACGTTTTCCCTGGTAAGCATGTCCAAGGCATCGTAAATTTCTCCAAAGCCCCCACCCCCAATCTTCCTCAACTGCATAAGAAATAAGAACACACACAAAATTACTAGAAGATTCTAACTGGAAAACAACTAGTATCTGATATTAAATATATATACAATTTTGCTACTGCTATTTTATTATAAAGAGATCTTAATATTATTAAATTAACCATATGCCAAGAAGAAAACAAATGCCTAGAAATAACATTAGAACCTTTTCCACAAATTTGTCCACGAAAAGTTAAAAAAATATTTCAGATGCAAACAATTTTAAAATTTGGTCTACAATTAGCATTAGAACTGTCACAAAAACACAATATCTGAAGAAAGCTTCACTTCCCACAAATGCCTCTCAACAACCAGATTTGTTGTTTTGATTCTAAGGTAATCATTTGAAGACTTTTTAAAGCATGAAATATTTTTGCCAGTTGCAATCTTATCTGAAACCTAACTGAGATGTGTATGTGGGGAGTTTGGGGTAGAAATAGGGCAGCCAGAGCCAAGTCCTCTCTGCAGCATTTACCCTCCTTTCCGAGGCACTGAACAGGCTTCAAAGAGCACACAGAAAACTCCTGTTTTAAACTGGAGTTCATGTTATTTCTGTAAGCTAGAAACAACATGCAATTAGCCTTCCTGAAACTAGGTCTTCTCTTTACCATATTATCAACTATCTATATAGAATGTACTATAATGTAGAAAGTCATTATTGGAGGCACAGAGTCCTGAATCCTCACCATCTCAGAGGACTCACCTCAACTGATGGGTCAATACTGATTACTGTATCTAGGCTGATTTCTTTTTTTTTTTTTTTAATTTAAAAATATATATATTTTATTGATTTTTTACAGAGAGGAAGAGAGAGGGAGAGTTAGAAACATCGATGAAAGAGAATCATCGATCAGCTGCCTCTTGCACACCTCCTACTGGGGATGTGCCCGCAACCCAGGTACATGCCCTTGACCGGAATCCAACCCGGGATCTTTCAGTCCGCAGGCCGACGCTCTATCCGTTGAGCCAAACCGGTTTCAGCTAGGCTGATTTCTTTATCTTCTGAATTTCTACAGGAATTATTTGCTTAATCACTTAGTCATTTTACTAGGCTTAATACCTAAGACAACACTTATATTAACACCACCCTGCATTTTTTATCTTTTATGTTGATTACCTTTCCAACTTTCCACTGTTAGTGTCCTGGCCCTCTATAGTGAAAGTAAGCTTCTTCAAAGAGAAGTCCACTCGATTATTTTTTGTTTTCCCCGAGCAAAACAAAAGTGATAACTATATATACAGGGTAAGGCAAAAGTAGGTTTACAGTTGTTCATATGAAAAATATATTAATAAATAATAATGCAAGAATAAACTTTGTGTTTTGTGTACTCACAATTATAAACCTCCTTCTGTCTCACCCTGCATTGCTAAGTAACCATTCATTGCTTTGTATATATGAACCATAATCCTTCTTTATTTTGGTTTGGTAATGATGGGAAGAGATACCAGAAGAAACTCAGGTATGAGTTTAGAATTAAAAAGAAGTCCCAGAACTTAATTTTGGTTAAGTAAATCCCTCTTTGTTGTGTCCTGATTGGTACTTGTGAGTCTTTATATATATATTATGTTCATTAAAAAAAGCCTAGTGTAACTTAAAAAGCTCATTAAAAGTAATGAGAACATCTTTCTAATTATGGACTGTGATGAGAGGTGGCTTCATGTTTTCCTTCACAAAAAACCTTACCAAATGACAGAACAAAAAAAATCTAGGCTGAAGTAAATAATTTTGCTCTTGGTCTATTCTTATAATATCATCTGAGTAACAGTAGAGCATTAACTTTTTATTGAACTTGACAAAGCCCTAAGATATCAGTGCTCATGAGGTAGAGAGACAGAGAGTTTACTATGATGGAGTAATGCAGATTAGAGAAAGAATAAAGGTAAGGCCTATGACAGATTTTGTTTTCTAAAGACATCCACAACAATATTGCCCAACATTTTTACTTTGTCAGGGTGAACCTACTGCTTCCCCATCAGGAGGTAGAGTCAAGTCCATTTCCCCACCCCCTTAAATTTGTGTGAATCTTGTGATTTTTTTTAACCAACAGAAAATTGCAAAGTAACACTGCAAAGTTCTGAACCAGCCTTATACCTTTTGTTAACTTGTTTCTCAAGAGCTGCCACTTAAGAAGTCATAGCCCTGTAAAGAGGTCCTAGAAAAATGAACCCCCAAGTTGGGAGTGGTGAGGGAAGTGAGGATCCCAAGATACCAAACAAACCATCTAGCAGTGAATTATCCAGATCAACCAATCTTAATAGTACCACATGACTAAGGGACAAATCACCCAGGCTCACTCTTCCCAAAATCCTAATCCACAAAATTATGAACAAAATGAGTAACTGCTTAAGCCTCTAAATTTGGATGTAGTTTGTTATATAAAAGTAGAAAACCAAAACACAATCCTTAATAATGAGCCTGTGATTTCTCACTAAAATTGCCATTGTGCCCCCCAAATTTGGGCGACATTCTCTAGATATGAGCTCTACTTATCAGGAAATAACAACTATTCCAGGCATAGCTGCGTTTACCACCTTTTGATATGTCTCCTGGTGAACAGCCAATCTTTATCACAGCCGGTACTACAAAGCTCTTACCTAAGTAACACTCTTGACTTACATAAAAGATTACCAAATGTTGGAATCTCCCTGCACAATCCATGATGATGACATGGTCCTTTCTTTACATTTACTTAAGTAAATTTCAAAACCTATTGATTTGCCTGATCAAATGTACTCTAAAAACTAAATTTTTATTTCTAGAGGAAAGATCTTCTTTTTCTAATTTGTTAGTAGATTAAGGAAACCACTAAAATAGTTTTGCTAAACCTGCTAATGAAACAAAATCTTAGGTAAGAAAAGATTGGATATATTTTGTTTTGGATATACTTAAATATCCCTTAAGAGGAGGAGAGATGGCAGATTTCAAGTCTAGGACAAAGAAGACATCAAAAGACTGCTAGAATCATATTCAAAGAACTCAGGAGACAACCTGAAGGGTGTCCCTTTAGTCAAATGAAACAATTTGAAAATCAATATGGGTGAACTAAAACATATTAAATTTGTTTAAATCCATGTCTTCTTAGTTATAATTTTAAAAAATTTCTTAATTGTGGAGAATCCAAGATGGTGACATAGGCAAACACCTGAACTTGATGCCTCGAACAACCACTTCAAAACTACAACTTAAAGACAAAACGGACACCATCCAGGACCACAGGAAGGCTGGCTGAGTGGAAATTCTACAACTAGAAGGAAAGAGAAAAGCACACTGAGACTCAGAGGACTTACAGAAGTTAAGTGCGGAGATATGAAGGCTCACGCGTGGAAAAGGGCTGGCAACTGAGTGCGCTGTTCTTTTCCAATCGGGAGGGAGACACAAGCTTCCAACTGCTCTGAACTCCAGTTCCAGGTGAGACTCTGGGGACCCAGACTCATATGGGAAGAAACTGGACTGCCTGGCATCTCGCCCTTGGCCAGAACACAAGGGCGGCTTTCTTTCAGAGGTACTTGCAGCGATTATTGTGGGACACTGAGACCTGGGGGCCTCTTAGGGCAGAACTAACAGTCAGCCATTGCTGTTTGTTTGTTCCATCCTGTTGATTCCGAGACCCAGCCCCACACAATTTACAACCCCATCCAAGCTGTGCCCAGAGGCTTTTGCATATGAATGGATTGGCCTTTTGCAATCTAAAATTACCAAACAAACTGCAGCTGGTCAGAGAGCCCCAGAACTCCCAAAAGAAGGCCCAAGGCCCCACAGCAGCTTGCATTACTTCACAGTTGGGTCTTATCTGGGCACCTCAAACCCCAAATAAATTAGAGAAATCTGCAGATATTTCCGTAGCTCCTGCTGGATGGCCTCAGACAGAGGCTAAATTTGCACCTCCTTGGAGATCTAAAAGCCAGTGTACCCAGTAATCACAGTGGGACCAGCCAGATTACAACGCCTCAGATCCATAAGGGATACACTCAGGGGCAGATTCAGTGAGCACCAAAGCCCCACTGAAGCAAGTCTTGCCCCCTAAGGGTGTCTCCAACACAAAAGTCCTCCCATTGTAGACACAGCTGATCATCACAGCCAATTGGCATGGAGGTCAATTCCTCCCAGTGATACCAACAACAATCAAGGCTTAACTACAACAAGAATGTGCACACAGCCCACAAAGGGGTGCATCAAGGTAACTGGGAAGGCTGGGCCACTGGGCCCTATATGACATCTAGCACACAAAGCCACTCAATCAACACAGGGAAGCAGCCAAAATGTGGGGACAAAGAAATAGGTCACAAATGAAAGAACTGGATATAGATTTCAAAATCATGGTTTTAATGTTACTCAAGAATCTTCTAGAAACCTCCGAGAAATTTAGTGAGATCCTCAAGGATATGAAAAAGGACCAACTAGAAATTAAACATACATTGACAGAAATAAAGAATAATATACAGAGATCCAACAGCAGACTAGAGGATCGCAAGAAGCAAGTCAAGCTGAAACCGGTTTGGCTCAGTGGTTAGAGCGTCAGCCTGTGGACTGAAAAGTCCCGGGTTGGATTTGGTCAAGGGCATGTACCTTGGTTGTAGGCACAACCCCAGTGGGGGGTGTGCAGGAGGCAGCTGATCAATGATTCTCTCTCTCATCAATGTTTCTAACTCTCTGTTCTCCTCTCTTCCTCTCTGTAAAAAAATCAAAATATATATGTTTTTAAAAAAGAATAATATATAGAAACCCAACAGCAGACCAGAGGATCAGAAGAATCAAGTCAAAGATTTGAAATACAAAGAAGCAAAAACACTCAACTGGAAAAGCAAAAAGAAACAAGAATCCTAAAATATGAAGATATTTTAGCCACTGGGACAACTTCAAGCATACCAACATCAGAATTATGGGGGTGGCAGAAGAAGAGAGAGCGAGCAAGATACTGAAAACATATTTGAAGAAATAATGACAGAAAAGTTCCCCCACCTGGTTAAAGAGATAGACTTACAAATCCAGAAAGCACAGAAAACCACAAACAAAATGAATCCAAAGAGGACCACACCAAGACACATCATAATTAAAATGCCAAGAGCAAAAGACAGAGAGAATATTAAACGCAGCAACAGCCGAAGCCGGTTTGGCTCAGTGGTAGAGCGTCGGTCTGCGGACTGAAGGGTCCCGGGTTCGATTCCGGTCAGGGGCATGTACGTTGGTTGCGGGCACATCCCCGGTGGGGGATGTGCAGGAGGCAGCTGGTCGATGTTTCTCTCTAATCGACGTTTCTAGCTCCCTCTCTCTCTCCCTTTCTCTCTGTTAAAAATCAATAAAATATATTTAAAAATAAAGAAATAAATAAACGCAGCAACAGAAGAACAGTTACCTAAAAGAGAGCAACCATACGATTGTCAGCTGATTTCTTTTTCTTTTCTTTTCTTTTTTTTAATATATTTTATCGATTTTTTACAGAGAGGAAGAGAGAGGGATAGAGAGTTGAAAATATCGATGAGAGAGAATCACCGACCAGCTGCTTCTTGCACACCCCCCACTGAGGATGTGCCCGCAGTCAAGGTACATGCCCTATGACCGAAATCAAACCTGGGACCTTTCAGTCCCCAGGCCAACGCTCTATCCACTGAGCCAAACCGGTTTCGGTGATGTCAGCTGATTTCTTAACAGAAACTATGCAGGCCAGAGAGAGTGGCAAGAAACACTCAAAGTGATGAATAGCAAGAACCTACAACCAAGATTACTCTACCCATAAACGCTATCATTCAGAATTGAAGGTCAGATAAAGAGCTTCACAGATAAGTAAAAGCTAAAGGAGTTCATCATCACCAAACCAGTATTATATGAAATGCTAAAAGGTATTCTTTAAGAAGAGGAAGAAAAAGCAAAAGGTAATGATAAAAATTATGAACAACAAATACATATCTATCAACAAGTGAATCTAAAATTCAAGTGAATTAAAAATCTGAGGAACAGAATAAACTGGTGAATATAATAGAATCAGGGGCATAGAAAGGGAGTGGATTGACAATTTTCAGGGGGAAAGGGGTATGGTGGGTGGGGGAAGAGACTGGACAAAAATCGTGCACCTATGGATAAGGACAGTGGAGATGGAGGGGGTAAGGGCAGAGGGTGGGGTGGGAATTGGGGGGAAAAAGAGGAACAACTGTAATAATCTGAAAAATAAAGATTTTTAAAAATTTCTTAGTTGTAATTTTAAAAATTCTCTTCAGTCTATGGTACTTTCAGACTATGTTAGGGAGCCAATTCATTATTTTGAAAATTGATAAATTAAGAAAAAGAATCAAGCATTTTTTTCTTTTTTTCCTAATAAAATTATATCTCAGATAAACAGATGAGGATGAGAAATTTCACTTTATAATGTACTTTAAATAATAAATGAAAGAATGCAATCCCTAATCAATTAAGAGACCTAAACAATGATGAACCATAGTTGTGAGACCATTAAAATGATGGGCAATAAGATATTATGCTCCTCCTATTGAAAGTTCACAATACCTTTTATGAGAAAAATACCCCCATCTCAGATTTAATCAAACCTCTATGCATAATTAACAATTTACATAAAATACATGACAGAGAAACATGTTAACACCACATGGAAGCAACTGTAAAAATACAAAACATGGAAAATTGTACAGGCAAATGGCTTAGTTTCTGCAACAAATAAATTGTAAGTAAAAATAAATAAAAATTTAAAAACTTAAAGAGATCCAAGATGGCTGCGCCCAGGTGAACACCTAGCCGCAGTCGCACACAACAATTTCAATAAAATACAACTAAAATATAAAACGGACATTGCCCAGAACTACAGGAAGGTTGACTGACTGGAAATTCTACAGTGAGAAGCAAGGAGAAAACCAGAAGGAGGTGCGGAGGAGCTGGAAAAGCCAAGGTACGGAGACGCGGTGCGCGGAGAGGACAGAGCCGGAGAGGAGGGAGGCCGAGTGCCTGGCGGGCGTTCCCTAGCAGAAAGGAGATAAAACTCTGACTGTGCTGGGCCCCCGACTGCTCTGATCTCCAGTTTTAGGCCAGACCCCGGGGACTCAGGCTCAGCCATAGGGAGCCGGGCTATAAGGCGAACCCCGGGGAAGCGGCGAAAGGAGGTCCCGGCGGTGCGTTCACTGCGCACAGAGAAGGGACGGTCGCTGTGCCGCGGGATTGCCCTGACGGGAAGGAGACTGGGGCTCCAGACTGCTCTGAACGCCACCTCCAACTCCACTTCCAACTGAACTGAACCCCAATACCGGGCTCATTGGGGGAGAGCACAGACTGTTTGGCAGCAGGCGAAAATCGAGGACACCTTTCTCTCAGAGGCGCTGGCAGCGAGCACCGAAGGACCCGCACAGGGCGGGGCTGACGGAAGCCAAAGCTGCAGACTCCACCCTGAAACCCCATCCCATCTGTAACTGCGAAATGCGACAATAAAATAGATCACAAACGAACGAAATGGAGGACAAAAAGCGTCTGGATATAGAGTTCAAAACTACGCTTATAAGGTTTTTCAAGAATTTCCTAGAAAAGATGGATAAGGTCTATGAGGATATGAAAAGAGATCAACTAGAATTAATAAGGAGTCATCGAGAAATGATAAGGGATCAACAAGAAATAAATAGATTGTCTGAAATAAAAAATATTTTACAGAGTCCTAAAAACAGAAGGGAAGATCACAAGAATCAAGTCAAAGATTTGGAACATAAAGAGCCAGAAGACACTCCTCCACAGAAGCTAGAAGGCAAGAGAATCCAGAAAATTGAAGATAATGTAAGAAACCTCTGGGACAATTTCAAGCGAACCAACATCAGAATTATTGGGGTCCCAGAAGATGAGAGAGAGCAAGATATCGAAAACATACTGAAAGAAATAGTGACAGAAAACTTCCCCCACCTGGTGAAAGAATTAGACTTACAAGTCCAGGAAGCGCACAGAACTCCAAACAAAAGGAATCCAAAGAGGACCACACCGAGACACATCATTATTAAAATTCCAAGAGCAAAAGACAAAGAGAGAATATTAAAAGAAGCAAGAGCAAAGAAGGTAGTAACCTATAAAGGAGCACCTATACGATTGTCAGCTGACTTCTCAACAGAAACCATGCAGGCCAGAAGGGAATGGCAAGAAATATTCAAGGTGATGAATAGCAAGAACCTACAGCCAAAAATAATCTACCCAGCAAAGCTATCACTCAGAATCAAAGGCCAGATAAAGAGCTTCACTAATAAAAAAAAGCTAAAGGAGTTCATCACTGCCAAACCAGAATTATATGAATTGCTGAAGGGGGTTCTTTCAGAAGAGAAAGTAAACAAAGATAAAAATTATGAACAACAAATATGTAACTATCAATAAGTGAATCTAAAAACCAAGGAAATTAAAAAAATCTGATGAACAATATTAACTACTGAATATAATAGAATTAGAGGTATGGAAGGGGAGCGAACTGAGGATTCTTGGGGAAAAGGGGAGAGGGGGGCGTGGGAAGAGACTGAACATAAACTGTGCACCTATGGATGAGGACAATGGGGAGAGGGGAAAGGGCAGAGGGTGGGGTGGGAACCTGGTGGAGGAGAGCAATGGTGGGGGGGGGAAGAAAAGGAACATTTGTAATAATATGAACAATAAAAACTTATAAAAAAAATAAAAAAAATTTAAAAACTTAAGTGATATCACCAATAGCAATATCCAGATTTTATTTGGATTTCATTCAAACTGTTAAAAAAAATTTCTGATATATTGTTCTGGGCAAGGAAAAAAACAACAACAAATAAATGAGACTCCATCAAACCAAAAAAATTTTGCACAGCAAAGAAAATCTTCAACAAAATGAAAAGAACCTACTGAGTGGGAGAACATATTCGGCAATGATACATCTGATAAGGGGTTACAATCCAAAATACCCAAGAAACTCATACAACTTAACACACACACACACAAATCCAATTAATAAATGAGCAAAGGACCTGAATAAACACTTCTCCAAAGAGGACTGATAGACAAATGAAAACATGCTCAATATCACTAATCATCAGAGAAATGTAAATAAAATCCACAATGAGATATCCCCATCACACCTATCAGAATGGCTATCACCAATAAATCAACAAGTGTTGGTAAGGATGCGGTGAAAGGGAAATCATGTACTGTTGGTGGGAATGCAGATTGGTGTAGTCGCTAAGGAAAGCAGTATGGAGTTACCTCAAAATTTAAAAATGGAACTGTCTTATGACCCAGCAATTCCAGTTCCGGGCATATATCTGAAGAAACCCAGCACACTAAGTTAAAAGAATATATGCACTCCTATGTTCACTGAAGCATTATTTACAACAGCCAAGATTTGGAAGCAACCCAAGTATCTATCAGCAGATGAGTGAATAAAACAGCTGTAGAACATTTATACAATGAAATATTATTTGCTCATAAAAAAGGAAGGAAGTCTTACTCCTTGTGACAGCATGGATGAACCTGGAGAGCATTATGCTAAGTGAAATAAGGCAGCCAGAGAAAGACAAATACCATATGATTTCACTCATATGTGTAATCTAATGAACAAAATCAACTAACAAAATAGAAACAGAGGCATGGATACATAGAACAGACTGACAGCTGTCAGAGGGGAGGAGAGTTTGAGGCCGAGTGAAAAAGGTAAAGGTATCAAGCAAAAAAACAACCAAAACAAACAAACACTGGAAAATAACTGGTTTAGCAAGCAACATATATGTATTATTCTATAATAAAAATGCTATTTTTTTCAAGATAGCCAAATTGCCCCCAAGACAATCAATCTAACTCTCCCTCTCCCACCCCCCTCAGATATATACTCACCACTTTCCATCTTTCTTTGACCAGGATTCCAACACTGAGGATATCTGGCTGCTCTCCTCCTCCACTCATTGCAATTCAATGATATGATAGAAAGGCTACACAGGCATCCAGCTCTCAAGGGTGGTTTCCATTTAACCTAAAACAAAAGAAATAGCATATCAAGGCTAGCTAATTAACACAAACATTTCAGCACCAATTAGCACTACTAATGCTATACATTAATTCTGTTGTTTGTTGGAAAGGGAGAGAACCCACAAATTCAGTTCCAAAATCTGTTCAGTGCATATTTTTAAAAACTACTTATTTTTCCATTACAGATACCAGTGAAATAGCAGGACACTACAAAAACATTACACTACAACACAGAGATATAACTTTCAAATAGCTGAGATTTAAAGATTATAGAGAAAGCATGGTGTCAATAGTAGTTGACCCAGACAGACCACTATCCTAAGCAATATATTGCTAAAGAAGGGGGAGAAACCAAGATGGCAACATAAGTAAACATCTAAACTACTGCCTTGCACAACAATTTCAAAACTACAACTAAAAGATAAAACGTCTATTGACAAAACCGGTTTGGCTCAGTAGATAGAGCTAAAGTCTGCGGACTGAAGGGTCCCAGGTTCGATTCCAGTCGCGGGCATGTACATTGGTTGCGGGCACATCCCCGATAGGGGGTGTGCAGGAGGCAGCTGGTCGATGCTTCTCTCTCATCGACGTTTCTAGCTATTTATCCTTCTCCCTTCCTTTCTGTGAAAAATCAATAAAATATATATTTTTTAAAAGATAAAACTTCTATCACCCAGAACCATGGGAAAGCTGGCTGAGTGGAAGTTCTATAATACAACTAGAAGGAAAGAGCATTGAGATGTGCACAAGTGCTGAAAAGCTGAGGTACAGAGGCGAGCAAATCAGGCTGGAGGCAGGTGATTGGATGTGCTGCTTTTTTAACCTGAAGGGAGACAAGCTCCGATTACTTGAACTCCAGTTTCTGGGGAGAAACTGGACTATCGGCTATCGGATTGGAAAATGAAGGTGACTTTCTTGCAGAGGTGCACCCAGCAATCATTGTTTACTGCGGTGTGGGATGTGGGGACTTGGAAACTTGAAAATGCAGAGAAGGCTGACTGGTAGCCATCACTGTTTGCCATGCCCTAGCCTAGTGACTCCCTGAGACTCTGCCCCACTCAATCTACAAACACACCCAAGCTCCACACAGCAACTTTTGCATATAAATGGCTTGCCCTGTCGCAGCTTAACCAAACAAACTGCAACTCCAGACAGACAGCTCCAAAACCTCCAAACCCCGAGCAAAGAGGAGAAAACCGTAGTTCCTGCTGTAGCTCCTGCTGGGTGGCCTCAGACAGTAGCTGACCTGCACTCCAATGGAAATCCAGAAGCCAGTGTATCTAGTGGTCTGTGTGAGACAACACCAGATTTTCAACTACTCTCAAAAGGGACACATTCAAGAGAAAGACTCAATGGCACCAAAGCCCCACTGAAACAAGTCCTGCCCAAGAAGCGTGTCTCCAGCACAGCAATTCTTCCATTATAGACACAGCGGGTCCTCACAGCCAATTGGCCTGGAGGTTAATTCCTCCCAGTAACACCAACAACAATCAAGACTTAAATACAAGACTGTGTACACAGTCCACAGGGGGTGCACCAAGAGGGTCCACCTCAGGTAACTGGGAGGCTGACCCATTGGACACCTAGCACACAAGGCCACCCTACCAACTCAGGGAAGCAGCAAAAATGAGGAGACAAGAAAACAAATCACCAACTAAAGAAATGGAGGAAAACAATCAACTGGATATAGAGTTCAAAACCACAGTTATAAGGTGTTTCAAGAATTTCCTAGAAAAGGCTGATAAATTTAACAAGACCCTTGAGGATATGAAAAAGGACCAACTAGAAATTAAACACTGACTGAAATAAAAAATATTATACAGAGACCCAACAGCAGACTAGAGAATCAGAAGAATCAAGTCAAAGATTTGAAATACAAAGAAGCAAAAAACACTCAACTGGAAAAGAAAAAAAAAGAAAAAAAAGAATCCAAAAAGTTGAAGATGATGTAAGAAGCTCTGGGACAACTTCAAGCATACCAACATCAGAATTATGGGGGTGCCAGAAGAAGAGAGAGAGCAAGATACTGAAAACATATTTGAAGAAATAATGACAGAAAACTTCCCCCACCTGGTGAAAGAAATAGACTTACAAGTCCAGGAAGCGCACAGAACCCCAAACAAAAGGAACACTAAGACACTTCATAATTAAAATGCCAAGAGCAAAAGACAAAGAGAGAATATTAAACGCAGCAACAGAAGAACAGTTAATTACCTACAAGGGAGCATCCATACGATTGTCAGCTGATTTCTCAACAGAAACTATGCAGACCAGAAGGGAGTGGCAAGAAATACTCAAAGTGATGAATAGCAAGAACCTACAATCAAGATTACTCTACCCATAAAAGCCATCATTCAGAATTGAAGGTCAGTTAAAGAGCTTCACAAGTAAGTAAAAGCTAAAGGAGTTCATCACCACCAAACCAGTATTATATGAAATGCTAAAAGGTATTCTTTAAGAAGAGGAAGAAAAAGCAAAATGTAAAGATAAAAATCATGAACAACAAATACATATCTATCAACAAGTGAATTTAAATTTCAAGTGAATTAAAAATCTGAGGAACAGAATAAACTGGTGAATATAATAGAATCAGGGGCATAGAAAGGGAGGGGATTCATAATTCTCAGGAAGAGACTGGACAAAAATCATACACCTATGGATGAGGACAGTGTGGGAGAGGTAAGGGCAGAGGGTGGAGTGGGAGCTGGGTGAAGAGGAGTTTGGGGTGGGGGAAAGGAGAAACAATTATAATAATCTGAATAATAAATATTTATGAAATTAGAAAAAACATATTGCTAAAGAAAAAGATAAAGTACAGTAACTATTTTACAACAGCTTATAATTAAACTAGAGACCCACTGCACAAATCATGCACATTGAAAGGACATTAATTAGAAGAAATATTTTAATATTGCTATCTGCCCTTTCTCTATTACAAAAATGTCAAACAAATTCACGATCGACGATGACAGATAGAAACACAAGTGTGCAATTGGCACCAGCGAGTTTTATATATATAGATAAACTTGCTTAATTAGACCTGCTTAATTAGACTTTTTCCAGCCCAGTGAAGCACCCCAACTTCTCCTTCAGGTAATTGTCAGCAACACAGCAGTCAATATCAACACGGAGCAGACTGTTATTGTAGATCACACAAGGAGAAATATTTAACTGTAGCAGTATTTGACTATATTCTGCACAGTGAGAAAACATGAAATGATTTTCAAGGTCCACCATTTCTTTCTTCTTTTCAGTCGGATCAAGTTTTGAAACTTTCTAAATCTCCCTTTTCTGGCTAATGAAAATAGGATTCTACCGAGTCTCCTATCTATCTACTCCAGGACTTCTGTGAGTATCAAATGAGTTGAGGCACAGGAAAATGCTTCACAGACACTTGCTTAAAGTGTAAAATGTTTGCACCTGGTTATAAAGCAAGTCATGTTCTTGGGCTGAAGAAAGTCCAAGGAGGCTAGTCACTAGGGAGAGGAAGCTGGGCATTGCTACATGATGTCATTACCCATCGCCCACCGCGACTGTTTCTGGGCTGGGCTGTGGACCACATTTTGCATCATGGGGTCTCAGCAGTGTTGGCTGTCGCTTCGGGCTGGAGCCTGTGTCCCACTTGGGGGAAGCTGAGTGTTGCTTTGTCAGTGCCAGGTCCACGGTGCCATTTCTTTGTAAGTGGCCAGTGCACGTCACGGCAGCTCATGCATCGAGTGTCTGCCCCCTAGTGGTCAGTGTGCCTCATACTGATCAGTCAGATGGTCAGAGACACACTAGCATATTTGCCTTTTATATGTAGAAAGATAGGTAGGTTGTAAGTCAAAGCTTATCATCATCAGAGCTAATAAAGTTTTAATGTTACATAATGCCCTTAAAATGCATAGGAAATAAATATGAACCATAGGAAAAGGTTATTTATCAAACTCAATATAATGATATTGTAAAGAAAAGAGAATAACAACATGAATAGCCCACCTATAGAAAATGAAGAAATAGCAGAAAAACATGGCCTAAAGGAGATGAGAACTGTGACCTAAGATTACAGAACAAATTAAATATAAAAAAGAAGCTTTAAGACAACATAAATCATAATTAGAAAATTAAATAAGAGCGCTAGGCAACAGGAAGACATAAAAGGAAACCTGAGTGAACAGAGAAAAAGATAAAAAAAGAAAGAAAAAGAAATGACAACTCAGCTAGAAAAGACATGAGAGAAGATATCATACAATAGGTAGAAAAAGGAGAAAAATGAAAAAAAACACAATTTTTTTAAACAATTAAAAGTGATAAGTAAAAGGCAAAGTAAATATAAAATACATATTATAGACTGCTCCCCTAAAGCTATAAATTAAAACAAATACTAGCCACTATAATTCAAGAAAAATTTCTAGAAATAAAAAAGCCCAAATCTGCATGTTCAAATGGTATACCATGTATTTTAGTAAACAACTCAGAAGCTCAACACCAAGACACAGCCTAATAAATCTACTGAATTTTAAAGGGAGGTGGGAGGGACTCATCAAGCATCGTGCAAGAAGTTCAAATTACTTATAATGGGGGGAAAATTAAGACTTATGACAGACAGTGGCACACATAGTAGACAATAGAATTATATATTTAAATATCCAAGGAAATAAAATGTGAGCTAAGGATGTTCTATCCTGCCAAACTAACCTTCAAGGCTAAAAAAAAATAAACAATTATGAACACACAGAACTAAAAAATTATTGTTCCAGGAAATGCCCCTAGGAATAAACTACATAACAAGTATCAGACAAGAAATTATGGTAAAAGATTTGGCATGAGGATTGGCCTAAAAAGGCCTAAAAGCAATGATAACCCAATAGCAATGATAGGGGCCCATTGGACCGGGCCAGCCAAGGGGAGGAGACACTGGAGGTTGGCTGGCCAGCCCCGTCCCCCAGCCAAACTCCCAGTCAAATTCCAGGTTGAACTCCTGGTCGAGGGTAAAATTTGCATATTAGCTTATATTATATAGGA